TTCTTCCTCGATATGAGGAACCCTCTGAAAGAGACCTTCACACCGCGGCCTCGTTTCGCCATCGAACGAGCTTTGTCCAATCCATTTGATTATCTGATATCGACGTCAGAGTCTACTGAAACGAAGCTCTCTACTAAACAGCCCGCCACAGCGATCTTGTATCAGCTTTACCTCGAGTCTGGCTCTCTGGTAAACATATACGATGTTTGGCAGGCTTTCTACGCGGTCTTCGAAAGCGAACAAGGTGACAGCTGCGATGAACGAATGATCATGACTTTGTTCTACAGGGGTTTGTCGGAGCTCAAAGCATTTGGCTTGGTCAAGAGCAGCCGGAAGAAGATTGACCATGTGACAAAGTCGGCCTGGATTGGGTTATGAACATAGCATGCGAGACTTGTCGCGAATATGCGAGCTTGTAATATGTAGTGTTATCGACAATAAAGGGTATCATGAACGCATGAGAAATTGAATGATCAAGCAAATATGCAGAAAGTCATCAGGCAGAATACCACACAGCCTCTCGAGAAGGATAGCGGAAGATCAAGTATATGCGAGCCATTCACAGTCATTCTGCGATAGGTATTTGAAAGATATCGTCATTATTTAAAGGATGGACTCCGTCGCTCAACACCATGGCTTCCCTCCTGCGCCTCCTGACGGCTTGTTCTTCTGCGGTTCCCCCGCGAAGCCTTCTGCCCGAAAGGCGCCTCGACCCGGCTGTATCCTCGCCATCGATCATCCATACATCGCTGTCTTCTTCATCGTCATGGTCATTTTCCTCCATCATGCTGCCCATCAAACCGTACTTTCTTAATTGTTTTGTACCGTCGGGATGAGACGATAGTGTGCTGAATATTGCACTCATGATCGTGTCATCAGACCACCAAGTCTTCATGAGTATCACCACGTCCTGCCTCCGCGACGGCTTTGTCAAAGCACATGGGAAGGGGTATTTAGAAAGCCAACGACTGACCACACCGGCTTCCAGCGCAGCAGGGATATTTTCTTGCAGGATCAGGTTGAGAATACTGAGTGCTTTCTTTTCGCCCAACGGTCTCGTCTTTGGCAGGATAGGCGAATCGGTGGTAGAGGTTTCTTCACCGTGTTCCTCAAGGAAATTGCACAAACAATCGACGAGGGCAGTGTAGGTAGAGAGGTCTTTCAGGCGAGAACAGACAGCGGTTCGTGAAACTACAGATTGCCACTCAGTCAGTATGCAAGCAGTTTAAGTGTACATTGATGGAAATCGTACGCGCTCTGTTAGATAGTAGGAAGTATAGCGCAGTTAGCGCTCTGCCTCGTCGTTCTTTATTTTTGCTTGCCAGGTCTTTTAGAAGCAAATCTCGCGTCGAGCCTTTCGTGGATCGCTCCGCAATGATGCGTAGTGCCCTAGACGATCATTAGCTGATGTCAATGCTTCATGAACGAAAACCGGGGCAGCGTACGCAGCACGAAGGTCGTAACTTGTGCTATCGGACAGCTTTAAAAGTGTGTCTAATTTGAGAGCTGCGATGGAAGTTAGTCCCTCAAAAGACTCTCGTGGCAAAGTCCAGCATACCGTCCTCTGTGCCCTCACTAATTATTTTGTCTTCCTTTTCGACATGCTTGATCTCCGTCAAATCACTCACTCGGCGGAGATCCGCAGCAATTCCGCGGACGGCGAAGAAGAGAGATACGCCTGATAAGTTAGCTTTCTAAACAAGAATCGAAAAGGTGTATAAATGATATATACCCAGACATAACCAGAGAAAGTTATCACTCAGATGAGAAGCCATCTTGCTTTGGCGATCCAGGTTCCCAAACAGCATCTGCATGTGAAGAGAAAGCGGAGAGTCGATGATCTCAAAAGCGGTGCGGCAGAATTTCCCCGACGAAAGCGGTGAGCCTACTTTTTTTGCGGGCAATCATTGAAAAATGCATCGTCCAAAAATTTCGGTGGAGCAGCAGGAGGCTTTTACTTCCACACCAACACATCACCATGCCGCCTTCGCAGTTGAAACAATTGAAGACGTCGCTTCGCGACAGTGGGATTTTAGCTCCGCAGCAGTCCAAGAAGCAAAAACGCCAGAATGCGAAGGCCGGCGTCAGCGCTCAGAATCGTGTGCAGCGAAATTCCGCTCTGCAAGCAATTCGAGATCGATTTAATCCGTTCGAAATCAAAGTTGCGTCGCGAAACAAGTTCGATGTGACTACTAGAGATGGGAACTCTAAGACCGCTGCTGGCCGTTCAAGGCCTGGAGTGACAAAGTCACTTGGAGAAGAAAAGGTGGGTTGAATGTGGCTCAAGATGCAGACTGCCCGGTAACTAAGATTTCTTCTGTGACAGAGACGCCAAACGCTTCTCCGGGAAATGGAGAGGAAGAACAAAATTGGCGGTATCGTCGATCGCCGTTTCGGTGAGGACGATCCGACCATGACACCCGAGGAGAGAGCCGCCGAACGTTTCGCCAGAGAAAGTCAGAAGAAGCTGCGCAAGGAGTCGATGTTCAACCTGGAAGAAGATGATGAAGACGATTTCCAACTCACGCATAAAGGCCAGTCGATAACCCTCGGCGATGGCGTCCCTCAAGACGATTTTGAAGATGACCTGGGTGGAATGGAGGAGGACCAATCCGATTCAGAAATGCCGCGGAAAAGGAAAAGAATCCTGGATGATGATGGAGAGCTGGAAGATTTCATCTTTGATGATGAGGATGGAGATGATCAGCCGGAAAGGAAAAAGTCGAAACATGAGGTCATGAAGGAGGTCATCGCCAAGTCGAAATTCTACAAGCTGGAACGACAAAAGGCGAAGGAGGAGGACGACGATCTTCGCGAAGAGCTCGACAAAGGTCTTCCTGATCTTTTCGACATGCTGCGCGGAGTGAAGCCACCATCTAAACCGGAGCCTGCGAAGGACGACCTGGAGTCGATGAACCCAGAGCGTGCAGCTTTGCTGAAAGGAGCTTCGGAGAATGACGCCAATAAAGAATACGACCAGCGATTGAAACAATTGACGTTCGACAAGCGTTCTCAGCCAACAGACCGTACTAAGACAGCTGAAGAGAAGGCCGAAGAGGAAGCGCAACGACTCAAGGCTCTTGAGGAAGAGCGTCTCAGAAGAATGCGTGGTGAAGAGGAGAGCGACGGAGAGGAGGATGACGAGGGAAAAAGAGAAACAGGAGGCGAGGACTCTGACGATGAATCCATTCCAGACGACGCGTTGGCATTTGGTCTGCAGCAGCCTGCACCTCAGACAAATGAACGTCCCGACCTGGGAGTCGAAGACGAGGACGACTTTATTATCGACGACGATCTTGTTGAGACGAGGTCCGACGTGAGTCTCTCATTCGACGAAAGCGATGGAGAGGAGGGATCGTCTGAAGAAGAATCGGAGGAGGAAGAGGAGGAAGAAGATGAGCTTATCAACGGGCTTACACTTCCTACCAGCAAATCTGGGGACTCCGCAGCAGCAGCCGATGGTGCACAAAAGACAAGTGAAGGGTTGGCCTATACCTACCCATGTCCCGAAGATCATGAATCTTTCCTTGAAGTCATCAAGGATGTTCCCATGAATGACCTTCCTATTGTCATCCAGCGTATTCGAGCCCTGCACCACCCGCGTCTGCACGCAGACAACAAGATGAAGTTGGGGCGCTTCGCTGCTGTCCTTGTCCGTCATGTTGCTTATATGGCTGAGCAACCCGAGCATCCACCTTTCACCATTCTCGAGACCATCCTACGTCACGTTCACTCTCTGGCCAAGTCCCACCCGGAAAGTGTATGCATGGCGTACAGAAGGTATCTCCGTGAGATGGCGACAGATCGTCCTCTCAACCTGCGCGCTGGAGATCTTGTCATTTTAACTGGCATTGCGACCACCTTCCCAACTTCGGATCACTTCCACGCCATTGTTACGCCTGCCCATTTATGTCTTGCTCGCTATCTGGGTCAAGGTGCCGTCAATTCGCTCGGAGACTACGCCACAGGTGCCTACGCCGCCAGCCTGTGCCTCCAGTACCAGACCATTTCGAAGCGGTACATGCCCGAGTTCATCAACTACGCGCTCAATGCCCTCTGCAATCTCTGTCCGACAGAACCAAACAGCAGCCTTGGGCTCTTCCCGACAAGGGGATCTCAAGAACCGCTGCGACTGATCCCCTCTAAACAGCTTAACCCTCGAAAGCTCCGATTCTGGGATATCGCCACCGCACAGTCGGATCAGCCCGCCCAGGACGAGCTTAAACTTTCTCTTATTCACACATTTGTCACCCTTCTCAACTCCGCATCCGACCTGTGGGCTGGTAAGTCGGCATTCTTCGAGATCTTCGAGCCGGCGCAGCAAGTGCTCCGCCACGTGAGCACATCCTTCCAGGGGAAACTCTCGTCCGCCGTCCAGGATAATCTGCAGTCGACGCTGGACAAACTTGACGCACATCTCTCCCGCGCGCGTTTAAACCGCCGGCCATTGCTGCTCCACAACCACCGCCCGCTGGCGATCAAGACTGCCATCCCCAAGTTCGAGGAGAGCTTCAACCCGGACAAGCACTACGACCCCAACCGCGAGCGGGCGGAGCTCAACCGCCTCAAGGCGGAGTTCAAGCGCGAGCGCAAGGGTGCCATGCGCGAGCTGCGCAAGGATGCCAACTTCGTTGCGCGCGAGAAGTTGCGCGAGAAGAAGGAGCGCGATGCCGAGTACGAGAAGAAGTACAAGCGGCTCGTGGCGGAGATCCAGAACGAGGAGGGACGAGAGGCGAATGCGTACGAGCGGGAGAAGAGGAAGCGCCAGGGGAAGTGGTAGTGCCTTTTACTCCGCGCATTACATCCTTGATACCCAGGCCGTCTGTAGTTACGGGATTCTTGGTTTCTCTGGGATTACTACTGTCGAAGGCGTACCAGGCTTCAAGGCTTTATTGTATATACAGTTGTCACACGACACAAAAGAAATGTCTTCCTTTGTTTCCCCCATAATACTACCGTAAAACAGAGGTCTCGAATTCGTGTGCCTCATCTGGGTCTACCTACTGGCCCAGCGCTGTCCCAATGCTGGTCAGATATCCACACCTGTGCCTTTGATCAACCGGGACACTTTCCATTTTCGTTTCGTTCGTCTTGATGAAAATACGGCTGTACCCTCCCCCATCACCCCAAGTCTTCCATTCGGGACTGCCAGGATAGCGGTGAGTATTCGGGTTGAATGTCTTAATGAAGCTTGTCCAGTAACCCTGCATGACCGGGACGATCGGAGCGTTTGTGGTGGTATAAGAGTCAGGTGCACCCCCGTTCACGTACTCGGGTCCCCAAATGGCGTTGACCTCCACTGTATGGGACACACCAATACCCGACGCTTGGGCGGCTTCATCTTCCACGGCGTAGTGATAGTTCCAGCTCTTGACACCAGCATTTTCGTAGACGGTTGACATGTCGATACCAGGACAGGTGTAGCGCATCTCTCCATAAGCATTGCTTGCAGGTCTCCACCAAACACTAGCGTTTGGGAACGATTGAGTCTGGTTCCCCTGCAGATACAGCTCATTGATTTTGGCAAGGTGATGAAGCTGGATTTTCGGAAATTGGTTTTGAAGGAACCTGTCGGCTTCCGAGACGTTGGCAACGTCTTTCGGTACAAAAACAGTACCTTCGTTCGTGTCGTCGCCGAATATGACTGGTACCTTGATAAACTTACCCTGATGGAAAAGACGATATGTATAGTCGGGCACAAGGTCTGCATCGACAATCGGCCCGTACATGTACAGCGGTGCCTCTTGCGCTCCAGGGAGTGGGATGTTGTAATTCTGGCGCTGAAGGCTTGCTGTATCCAGATTGCGCAGACACGAGAGTGTGTTGTTTTCGCTAGCACAGCCCGTGCGGATGACCAGGCTGTTGTAAGCAAACTGGCTCTCAGTCAATGTAAGCATGGTGGCAAAGCTTTGTGACTCTACAGCAGCAGCGTGGAATAGGCCATCGTTTCTCCCACCGTGGGCTGAGAGCAGCAGGGTGATGGAAGCAGCCCCTGCGCTATCACCGCCGAGGACAACATGATTGGGGTTGCCACCAAACTTTGACGAAGAGTTAACCACAGAAGCTGAGGAGCAGAAAGGGCAGGAGACGCCTCACCTTGCTGATATGTTTCTGGACCCATTTGAGAGCCTTGATCTGATCTTTCAGGCCGTTATTCAAACTTCCGCCATTCTGGACCTCCTTGCCAGCCAAGAAACCGTAAGGCCCAACTCGGTAGTTGAAGGTAACCACGACAATTTCCGAGCCAGACGTTTCGATCAAACCGGTTCCATTATAGTTTGCATTCGAATTCGAGTTGAACCCACCGCCTTGTATCCAAAAGAACACAGGGAGATTGGACGCATTCTTTGGGGCATACACATCGATGAACAGGCAATCTTCGGATTTGCCGGAGCCCAGAGGGTATTCTCCAGTTGGGATACAAACGGGGCCGTGCTAAGCCACAGATCGTCAGCACGGGACGCTCCCGACGTGAGGTTTAACAGAATATCGATGACTGGATATCTCTACCTTGCTTGCTTCTTGAACACCCTGTGTTGGCAATGGATCCTGCGGCGCAGCAAATCGCAACTTTCCTACAGGAGGAGCAGCATAACGCATGCCTAGCCACTGTACAATCCCATTGGAGAGCTCATGGCCTTGATATTTTGTGTACCCGAGATCTACAAGAGTCTTCCGAGCAGATGCAGCAGGAAGTAGTAGCAGAACTAAGGCGTAAAGATTGTTCAGGTGCATTTTCTGGCGGCACCACACCCGATTGGCACAAGATGAACGATGGACAATGGCAAGAAAGAATGCTTCGAGAATCCGGGTGATCAAAACCTATTTAAGTGATACTCTGCACCGAGGTTTCAATGTCTCTGGCCCCAGATTCTCTGACCTCACATCCTCGGGCTTTCTTCGGCACGAGTCCATGGCAGAAAATCCGGAACCAACACCTTTTCAAGTGAGGTCAGTGATCACCTGGGATCGCTGAGTAAGTTCATGTTGGTAGACTAAGCCACAGACAGCCAGTATCGGCGTTACAGCCGAAGTACAACCATTCGCAGGAAGTAGAAATCCGCTAGGAAGAGAAGCGGATCAGCATGTTAACCTATCATCTCTTCAGGTATTCCGTCCTGGAGAGCTTAGAAGAAGGCCCGGCGAACAAAAGTGGATTCCGCTTTCCAAATGATTGGAATATGCTTGGCTATCTAGCTGATGCTGATGCTTGTCAGCAATGGGTGCTCTATGAAGTGAGATATGCAATTGTTGATACTGCGATGTCGTCTCCTGTGCTGGCATCACAACGATCATCTGATTGAGTTCTTCATCCAGAGAAGGACTGACAAGGACAATGAAGACATCCTGCATCCACTCATGACCTCATCAGGAGTGTGGGGGAAGTGAGACAAGTGTGTCGTGCAGAAGGGTGAGAGGAAGTACTAGTGATGAAGATCAGCACGCGGGAAATTGTGGAGAGAGACCGAAAGTGCTACCTTTTGGTAGTCGTTTTCTCCCCGCAAACAAGAAAAACCCACTCTCAACAGATTAATTCTCATCATCATTTGTGCCTTTTCTCTTGGCATACAAATCTCCATTTAGCCTTCGATCTCATCCAGTTGTCACTTACTTCCGGCTGTTCCTCGGCTCTACTATTGGTGTCCGACAGTCGGCACGGCACAATCATCACCATGCCCCCTCACTCACACCCCGCACACGGAGGAGAAGAAGAGGAGGAGGATGACTACATGTCGATGGTGATCGAGGAGCCGCAGCAGAAGGAGACATTTGCTCAAAAAAAGCTCCGCAAGCAACGAGAGGTCTGTTTCTTCGCGTTTCCCACTCGATAACCAATAGAAGCGCTGGAACCTAAAGCTAACTTCCCATGCTTCCTAGGCAGAAGCTCGCGCCAAAGTCCCCTCGAAAGCTGAACGTGCTGCCGAAGAAGCCGCCCGTCGAGATGCAGCCCTGTCCAAGAGCACGCTGGACCCCTCTAACAAGGGGTTCCGAATGATGGCCAAACTCGGGTTCAAACCCGGTCAAACTCTAGGAAAGCAGCAGACATCAAACGGAGATAGTGAGCCCTCGCATGACGCTAAAGAGGAACGTGTACGATCCGAGCCGCTGAATCTCGTGTTCAAAGAGGGCCGCGGAGGCATTGGTTTGGACAGTGAGAAGAAGCGCAAATTCCGGGAAGAGGCGGAAGAGGCTTTCAAGAAGGTTAAGCAGGAAGAAGGAGATTACAGGGACCGCGTTCGGCAAGAGCGCGAGACGCGACGGACGGAAGCGCAAGTGCACGCGGCGCAAAAGGTAGCGGAGCGATTAGATGCCGAGGCTGAGGCTGAGGCTGCGGATGGGGACGTGGAAACTGGAGAGGCGAGTCAAACGGAGAAAGAGGATACAATCCCGGATAGGGAGCAGTCCCGCGATGAGGGCTCATCGGAAGATTTGGCCGGTGACTCGCGCGCCGCACACGCCAAGGTGAAGGTCAAGCCCACCTCCCAGATTAATGTCTTGTATAGAGGCTTAGTGCGCGAGCGTGAGGAGAAGGAGCGACCCCTGCAAATGCGCCACGCTCTTCAGACTTCACTCCCTTCGTCATTCTTTCCGAATCCTCAGTTACCAGGGTACAACGATCCTACGCTTGAGCCAGACGACAAAGAAGCACTCGGCTCCGGGCACGATACGTCTACAATACTGGAACAAGAATTGGAGGAAGAAGACCCAGAACTTGATGAGTTCAACGCGCTGGATCCGAGTGAACGGCTGGCCCGGTTAGTCGTATATCTGCGTGAGCGACATCGATACTGTTTTTGGTGCAAGTATCGCTACGAGACTGATGAGATGGAGGGATGTCCTGGTCTCACTGAAGAAGATCATGATTGACCTGTGTTCATATATTGGTGACTCTTCGAACAGGATTGAGAGCCGGAACAGGCCAAAATTTATATTCTCGGAGATCAAAGCAACTTAGAAAATTGTACAGCATACCCTTGAGAAGTATCATGGCCCACGAACAGAAAACATAACCCACTATAGCTCAGATCAAAAGGCGTATATAAACAGACTCAGAACTCCCGTCATAGCACATCCAGAGTACAGCATCGCATTAGGCAGGTCACTGATCGAACGAAGCATTGAAAAAAAAAAAAAATTTCCTGAAATTGTCAATCGTACCGATGTCGACAATAAGAGTACGAGTCACCAACCGATCCCTGGCGCGTTAAGAAGTTGCAGGCATCGTCTCCATCAATTGAGCCAGCGAACGATTCGGCACCTTCTGTAAGCTCTGATAGCAGTCCGCGCAGATGCGCAAGCAACAGAAGACACACCTGAAGCGCATCTCCCGGTCGAATTTCTGGCAGGCCATGCACGGCAGCGAATACCAGACATTGTTGGCCGGCATCATGCTCCGATGCTCCTGGAAACAGGCATAATGCAGTCGGTTCAGAGGCACCGTGACCGGTTCGATCTCAGGAGGGGTAAAAGGCCCATTGTTCTCGTCACTCGACACAGAGTCGAGGGGTCCGCTGGCGCTGTCCAATTCCGGTTCGTGCTCGGGCTCGGGCTCGGGATCCGGGATGAAGTCTTCTAACGGATCGCCTGCATCTGGTTGTACAGAGTTTTCGCTGAAAGGGGTCCGTTGAGACGAGATCGGGACTGGCAGCTCATCGTGGGCTCTGGCAGGCCGCGCATAGTTGTGGTTCCGTGCAGCTGAGATTTCGTTTCTGAATGCTGGGTGGATGTCCTCCGGTCCTAGGGATGCCGACGCGGGAGGAAAAGACGGCAGTGGATTTGGGGGCAGTTCCTTGTCATTCTGTGGTCGTGCAGGTCGAATGGGGGCTGAGTCGGTTCGGACAGGGTACTGAGGAGGAGGCGCAACGGGAGCTGGAGGCGCGGGAGCAGCAGAGACAGGAGCGGGAGCTGGAGCTGGCTCGTGGTCGACGGCTTTCTTAGATTTGAAGGCGGAAAGCGACGGAACTCGCAATCCACGAGGCCGATTTTCCCTGTCCAGAATGGCCATGTCGTATGAAATGACGATTTGCTTCCACCCAGAAATTTCAAGATCGAGATATTTTCGATATTGAAGAATCCTCGGGATGATTTGACGCAATTGAGCAGGAAGGGAGTTTCGGTCAATGCAATCAGACCGATTCTGGAGGAAACAGAGACTTTAGTAGTGCAAAGCCTCTGATGATGTTAGTTTTTTCTTAAGATTCCAGAAAGAAGCAAAAACATAGATAAACGTGAGTACGGAGTGTCATTCGTGTTCATATGAGTCGACTAGGTACGTACTTGGTATTCCGCGATCATTCTTATTGCCCATCCAAGCAGGATTCCGTCCTGAGAAATCCGGGAAGGTATCTCGTCAGAGAACCATGGACTGAACGTACCCACTCTTAGGGACTTTTAGTGGTAGGGAATAGGCACTCATCGCTCGATCGGACCCGGAATGGGTCCTATAATCAGGGTCAGTTGTGACACGCCGGAGATTAGGATGAGCTGAAGGCTAAAGTGATCTAAATCTGCGAGTCCATTAGTGTGCTCAGCCTGCGATTTGGGTTAGTAGAAGAGAGAGAAAGAAAAGGCATGCTTTCAGGGCAGGGTTTGGGCAAATGAAGATCTATCTAGTCAATACTTTTGGTGAATGGTGACAGATACCAAATGTGATTGATCATATCTTTTGATACTAGGTAGTACCTACTGTCTGGCTGGATTTTGGGTCTTTCAATCCATCATTCCAATAGAGAGGTAGATAGTTTATGATTATACGGATTACATCAGACCAAGGCGCTAAGGAGGAAGCCGTCAAGGCAACCGCGAAATCAGGCAGACCAGAAGACCTGTGTCGTGTCGTTAGGTATGATTGGGAATGACAAAAAGACAACTTCAACTCTTTAATCATAATAATGACCGTCAGTTGTCAATCTCGAGAGTCGAATACATGTTGTTTACGTCCAAAGGGGAGCTGTGGGGGCTGTGGATCTCGAGGTCACCAACAGTAGTACGAGTAGTAATGCAGGTACTTCTATGTAGCGTATCTACAGAGTGATTTTAATGTCAGGCAATAATCTGGCCATCCATAAGAACAAGACAAGGATCTTTCTGGCCAGAATAATGCTTCCGAAATCATCGTACAGAGCATGTATACATCCTCACATCAATGGTACGTATTAGTGAAACGCCATCTGAAACAATCGACCCATGAAACCCTGATCTACCGAAATTAATTAAGTGATTATTATTAGGGAGTGTGGACTACCTACTACTAGTACTAATCAATCCCGTCATGACATTGCACGGTTTTACGATTAATTCCTAATGATCTGAGAGACTGAGCCTCATTCTGAATCAAGGCTATGGCAAACAGTTGACTGGACTGGTAGAGACTGTCCTCCGTATGGAAGGTCGGTCAAATTACTGACTCAGATATAACTCTGAACGATCGTACTTCCATGATCTATTCAAAGACAGTAAAGTATCTGCTTTGGCCCTGTCGGAGGGAAGGACTCGTTTCCAAACCCTATTGAAGCTCTTTCATCCCCCTGGGGCCCATCAAAAACAAAAACCGTCGCGGCCATAAAACTCGATGCAGTCTCGCTGCCCACCTGCGCTAGTACAGAACACAATCACATAAAAAAGAAAAGACAGATCTACTGTACTGTATATATATATATATAAAAGAGGCCAACCCGCCGAGAAAATATAATGAAATGCGGAGAGACGGATGGGTAAACAAGGAAAAGATCAAGGAGTAAGTCGGCGATTGTCTTCAACCATGACTGCCTTCTCACCCCGGAACGGGTTTGACATGGCTCGCACCTAGATGAGTCTCTTCTCGTCATATATGAGAAAATGGCATGGGAGGCTGAAATGTCCTTGGGAGAACCTTTCTAGCACTTGCTCAAGTTGCTGCCTCGGCATTTCGCGTGGCGCTGGTAATCTCCACCGACCGAGTCTCGAGTTCCTTGGGCATCAAGCAGTCCCGGTCCTCTGCGACAGTTCCCACAGCTATGAGGTCTGCAGGCGCAGTGGATTGGCTAGGCATCTCATCAGCCACAGGCGCAGTGCTGGAAGCCGAGCCCTCGGCGCTCGGTTTCGATGATGTGTCTTCCACATGCTCTGCAGTTTCATCGCCTTTGTCTTCATCCCCAATAACAGCAGCTAAGCTGCGGAAGTTGAAGAGTGGCTCGGTGGACGAAGCATTGCCATCGTAAGCCCCGCTGTGATCTTCTCCCGTTGACTCAACAAGTGATGAGAATGATGAGGATGCACTGGACACGTGACGCAGATGCGATGGTTTTGGCGGCTCGCGGGGCGAAGGCTGAGCCATCGAAGACTGCGCGCTTGATCCCTGTTCCACCACGTTTGGGTGCGAAGGGATGGTCATAGAATCAGGGGCGGTTTCGGCATTTGACTGCGAGGAAGCAGCGGCAGCAGATGGCGGTGCGCGATCCACTTCCTTACCCTTGCCTGGAGATGCATCCTCGCCAGTTATCGAGGAGGAGCTGCTGGTGACCCTTCCAAGTCGGGCATCCGAAGGAACGTCCAAAGCGGAGCTGCTAGCGTTGTTGCTGTAGAACCCATGCTTGCGCGCGGCCTTCTCTGCCTTTTTGCTTTCCTTCTCTCGCCGCTTTGCTTCTTTCCTAGCCTCTTTCTCGGCCTTTTTGCGCCTCTCTTCCTCGCTAGCCAAGCTCAGTCTGATCGCTTCCATCATCATCATCTCTTCGAGATCATCAATACGGTTCCGTCTCGAACTATTACGCGGCGGTGCTAGATTCCCTGCGCCTTCTTCTGCGGAGTCTGTCTCATGTCCCGGTGCACGCCTCTCGGTCAAAAATGCGAGTGCCTGTAGAGCTGGGGAGCCCGAGCGGCTCGAGGCACTCGGAGTCTCCGATGGACCATTTCTCCGCATCACGCCTCTCCGTCCAAGACTGAAATTCCTGCTTTCATTGCCCGATGCATTAGAATTCATCAAATATGCAGCGGTGTGCAGAGCCGTCGCCGCGGCGGATCTTCGCGCAGCGTGAGCCCGGGCATTCGCTAGTTTTTGAGCCCAATCAGGACGAACTCTGTCGGTCGTGATGACCGTAGGGTCATTGGCAGACAGCGAGGTAGCACGCCGGCGGCCCATCACTGGAGGCGCATTGGCCGAAGCTAAAGACGACGTCGAGGACACTGGTGAAGCAAAGTTGGGGCGAAGTGTAGGATCTGTTGCGTAAACGAGCCCTCTACGGAAAGGTGGAGGAGTGTATGTGACTCCAAATTCGGGTTGTACGCAAAATGGACATGAAGCAGGCTCAGATACTAGTTGGCAGTCTTGATTGTCCTGACGGTCACCCTCCGCGGTGGTGGCGGCATTGGGTTCCGCTTCTCCATGTTCTGGCGGATGTGGATCAGGCCGCTTAATTTGAACGAAGCATTCCGAACAGATCGGCTGGTCGCAGCATCTCGTGCGGTTAAGATAAGGGGGATAGTATAAGAAGCAAATCGGACATTCGGTCGCATCTTTGTAAAGATAGGCTTCTATTGGCTGTCCATTGACAAATGGGTCTTTAGGTAGATGTATCTCCTTAGGGGTCGATTCGATCTGAGAACCAAGCTTGGATGTGGTGAGTGATGCCAAGGTTTTCGCCCGGCTTCGAAACAACGGTGAGCTCGAAGTACCGGACGCTATGGGAGAGACGGGCGATGGCAGAGAATGCGCTGGGGTGGATGATTGCGAGGCTTCCGACCCGTAGGATTGTGATCTTGACGTAATTGGCACCATCAGGTGTTGAATGCTGGACTCTTTCCCATCTTCGGTCATTTTCGGCGGGTTCTTATATTCCAGCTCTGGGGGAATCTCATCTGGTGGCGGTATTGGCAGGCCACGCGCTGCTGCCATCAATTGATGCTCAGTCCACGATTCCGAGAAATCGTTCAGTCCTCTCCAAAACGGTGCGAGTCTCCGCTCGATCTAAGCAACGATATCAGTTTAGGTCAGGAGTAGGCAAGGGGGAAAAGTAGTTACCATCAGTTGCCGAGTCACTGCTTTATTGAAATCCTCAGTGCCCACGTAAACACCTTGCGTAACTAAATACCCCCCGTCGACATGCTCTTCCTTCATGCTACGCTCTCGTTCTTTGGTCCGAGCTGCCCGCTCCTTTTCCAGCCGACGAGCTTCTCGCTCCTGTTTTGTCTCTCTCCGATGCTCAAGAGTGGCCACATCCCTCTCGGAGCTCCCGCCGATACCGAGAATAGATAGGTCCGGTCTACTGCCTCGAGACCTGGAACCTTCCGCATGATGCCGGTCGCTATATGGCGATCTCCCATGACTGCTAGAGGAACCCCATTGATGGCTTCGGCGATTGGAAGAACTGAGAGATGGACGGGATTCTTTAGTTTGCGAATTACCCATCCTTGCCCTAAACAAGAGGGTGGGTTATATACAGAACGGGCTGGTCAGGATGGTTCGGGATGAACGGCGGCCAACTCGCACTTAAAAGGCGGTTTGGATTCGACGGGGCCAATTATAGGCGAATAGGAAAATTATCAAATGGATCGAAGAAGAGACCTAGCAAGATGAAGCACGGAAGGATGGAGGTTTCAGATCCTAGAGCGGGGATGCAAATGATGTGGTGATAATAAACCCGATGTGGCCATGTGAGCGACAGAGGTGGCTACTCAGTGCGGCGATGAGATCAGAATGCGGGCTTTGAGTTAGCCGCGGGAAGATGGAATACGCCGGATCAGGGAGGTGAAGAAGTAAGGGTGAGAGAAGTTGGAGATCCCGTATCAAAGTCAGGAACAGAGAGAAGTATCGAAAGCAACAGTAAGAGAAACACTCGATGACACTGACAGCGTGAGCTTTCAAAGAGCAGGATGAGACTGGGGAAAGAGACAAGAGATTTGGAGAGGGAGGATGGACTCCCAAGATAGTAGTTAAGTTCGATACTACAGAGTGCTAAGGTAAGGTAAGGTGAGATCGATGACTTTTGAGTTCAATACCTAATAATGGCAAGGTAATAGCCCATACATCAT